TTGTGAAACAAAGATGTCTATTTACTAAATAATTCACTTAATATATTTACCGCCTCGTAAATGTCAACTCGCTAGATTTTTCGGTAAAATGTAGTTTACCAATTTGTTATGCTCGGCAGTTCCTAATTTGCTTAAAAGAAGCCTAACCTTCTTTCCTTCAGACCACGAGTGGTAGTCCTCGTTATACACGTCCGTATATTTTTTATAATACTCCGCAGAAGTTATCTCTTCATCTGGACTGTACGTAAATATTTCAATTGAATTCCATATTGTATTCTCTGGGAAAGAATCATTTTGTAGAGTTTTCTCTTTCCTCTTCTTAGTTTTTTCCAGAATTTTGTTTTGAAACTCCCTATGCATCTGTTCCATTTTTTGTTGGAATTGCATTTGTCTATTGAATGTTTCCTCCTGTAGCTGCATCTGGAATGTTTTTTTTTTGCTCTGATATTGTCATCTGTTGTTCCGACTGGAACATAAAGAATTCCCGGAATATATTTTTGCATTTCTCCATCTTCGCAAAAATTTACACAATGCCTAAATACTCTAGAGGGGGGGGGGGTCCTACGAATTTGCAATTCGTGACCTATTTAAGCAATCGGGAAAAAAATATTTCTTTTCTCACTTGAGAATACGACAGATTTTTTCGTCACTAAGTTGACGTCTTGGCTTGCGAAAAACTTTGCCAAGTTTTTCTTTTTTTTTAGTGGGAATCCGAGACTTTGTCGCCGAAGTTATCATGTCGAGCGAATTTTTTCGTATTGAACTGTTACGTGATATCTGTCCTCCTGTGTAGAAGCGTATAATAGACAATTTCCTCAAAGACAAACAAGTGACTTGAAGCACCAGAAATGTTTTTTCTACAGAAAGATGATGAGGATGACACTGACCGAACATGTAAGCAACGACGATATTTTGGAGAAAATAGAAACAAAAATGAAACTTATATTTAATATCAGAAAAAGGAAGTTCAAATTTCTGGGGCGCGCAATGAGGAAGGAGGTCTTGGAAAATCTGATACTCACGGGACAGAAAGAGGGACAGAGGAAAGCAGCGCGTAACGTACTCGATGGGCTTGGGTAAATGAATGGTAGAACAGGGTTTGAGAAAAATAACAAAAAGACAAAAATCATTAAGAGCTGCAAGGGACAGGAAGATGTGGAGGGCCTTGATCGCCTACGTCCTGAAAGAAGATGGCACATAAAAAAGAAAAATGAAAGTCTGTCCAGACCATCAATGGAAAGAGGGAGAAAGGAGAATTACATCTGGCGCCTGATTTATCAACATATAGGAACTTAGTAGTTAGCAAGCAGATGACTTATTCACTTACACTCTTTTCGACCAACTAAATTGTCTTGGAAAAAGGGGAGGCAGTCTTGGTATATTTATGGTTTTTTCATAATTGTTAAATGTGTTGTGAATTTGTCTATATTTCTGAGATGAGGTATTATGTACATTATTTACATTATTCGGCCTATTGTCCTCATCTTTGTCGCCATATTTATTACAACGTTTCGGCCTTTCAGTATCTGTCTACATTTCTGAGATGAGTTATTATGTACATTATTTACATTATTCCGACTATTATCCTCATCTTTGTCGAGTATCTGTGACAGTTTGCGTTCCTTTTTCATTGTCGGATCCTTTTTTACTTTGCTGTAGCTACCATTGCTAATGAGGTTTTCCAGCTTTCTTGTATAATCTGATTTGTCCATCACTGCATTCGCATTGCCTTTGTCAGCCAGTAGTATGATGATGTTTTCGTTCCTCTGCAGGGATCCGATCGCCAGCCTCTCCAGGTCTGTTATGTTATGTTAGGTCTAATCTTGTGGCATTTAAGACCCGCTAGTGATTTACAAAGGAGGCCGCATATGGAGCAAGTGTGGGGATTGTGAGATGAGATCACTGTTAGATTGGTTGACCTTTTAGATCTTGCTCTCGCTTCTTGAAGATGATTCAGACAAGCAGATTGAAAATTGCTGAGTCCACTAAAACACGTTGATCTCCATTCTACCCACTCCAAAGCTAAGCGCTCAAGGGTGTTATGTGGTATATTAACTGCTGACAAGTTACTTTTCAGCTTGTCTTTGTATCTTAGCCATGAGCGTCCTACATTCCTGTAGCCTTGATCTAACTGGCTGTACATTAGGATCTTGGATATCCTGTCATCAGACATTCTCAAGACATGACCAGTCCACCGTAACTGAGACTGTATGATAAAAGTATCGATTCCTCCAATATTACACCTATTAAACAGGTCTACGTTAGATGTCCTATCTTGAAGCTTAACTCCACAGATTGCACGCAGACAGCTTTTATGGAAAACATTTAGTTGGCGTATACGGTACCTGTATGGAGTCCATGACTCTGAGCCATACAAAAGGATGGTAAGTACAACAGCTCTGTAAACCCGAATTTTCGTATCCAGTCGAATACCCCGCCCATTCCACAAGCGATGGCGAAGTTTGCCGAAAGCACTGGTAGCCTTAGCAATCCGATGCATGATTTCATCATCTAAAGTTCCACTGTAATTGACTTTGCTACCAAGATAGGTGAAAGACTTGACATAGTTCAGGGGTTTGTCTTCTACTCTCAATGGTCTCTCTGGAAATTTGTAGACTGATGGTTTTTGTTTCTCACCACGCAATTGCTTCGGAGTAGGACAAGGTTGGTGCACAACTTCAGTTTTCTTTATGCTAAGTATAAGACCAAATGCTTTACATGCAGTAGAGAAACGATTTATTAGATGTTGGGCCTCCTCAAACGATCTCGCTACGAGAGCCGATCATCAGCAAACAACAAATCACGAATAATATGCGTACGAAGGTGGGTCTTGTCTTTGAAGCGCTGATGATTGAAGAGACCACCAGTTGTTCGAAACTGAAACTTGACGTCACTCTCTGCGTCTGCAAATGCATATTTCAGTATCACCGAGAAGAAAAGGGCAAAAAGGACAGGGGCCATGACACAACCTTGCTTGGTGCCATTTGTAACATTAAAGTATTCCGACATCATACCATCAGACACGATGTTAGCCTTCATTCCTTCATGAAAGGAGATGATGACCTTTAGCATGTTTTCAGGGATGCCGAGTTTCTTCAAGACTTGCCAAAGAGCCTCTCGATTCACAGTGTCAAAGGCCTTCGTCAAGTCCACAAACAACATATACAACTCCTGTTTTTTCTCGCGAAACTTCTCTGCAACCTGACGAAGAGAATATATCATGTCAATGGTGCCTCGACCCGACCGAAAACCACACTGCGATTCAGGATAGATGTCGTCAACAACGTGTATAATGATTCTGTTTAGAATCAGTCTCGCTAGGATTTTGCCTGCAATTGAAAGTAGTGATATCCCCCGATGATTATCACAGACACGTCTGGAGCCCTTGTTTTTGTAGAGGTGTTTGATAGAGGCGTCTTTATAATCCTGTGGGACACAGCCTGTCTTCCATATCTCCACGAAAAGGAGATGTAACTTTTTTACCAACTTTTGGCCACCATGCTTATACACTTCGGATGGAATAGAATCCTTAGGACTAGGTGATTTTCCAGATGAGATTTGCTTGATGGAGTCAATTACTCTACCATGTCTATTTAACTATCCCTATCACACACTACCGATGATATTCAACAAGAAAGGCGCCGTAGATTTTTTTTTTTTTAACCCAAGCACTTTCTACCTTTTCTAAGATAATCTTCAGGGGCAAATTACAAAGACAAACATGATGTTGTAAATGGTACAAACCTCAACATTCCGTTGTCATAGTGAATTTAAAAAAAAAAAACACGCGCGAACGCGTTCCATTATAGTTTAGAATTATAAAATTTATCCGTTGTAGTTATTGAATTTTTTTTTACAAAACCAGGTTTTCGATATAAGGGAGCTGACTGGAAATTGATAGAAATGTAAAATGATATTAGTATACAAAGGTTATATGCATTTTAATATGTTGTTGCTATATTCGTAATAAATTTTGTTGAGTGTTGGTTGGTTGATTTTGATACAGGAGTCCACAAGAACTGGAAGTTTTTCTTTATTATTTTCGTGGTGTAGTATATTAGTGTTTCTAACAAGTATTTTCCTATTTACATTATTCGGACTATTGTCCTCATCTTCATCACCATATTTGTTACAACGTTTCGGCCGTTGTACGCTCCGGCCTTCTTCAGGTGGTCCTCAAGGATACATGGCACAGTGGATAAAGGCGTTGGTTAGATCCAGTGACAGGACGCAACGAGTGTGAGTTCAATACCCGGTTAAGGCAGTGGAGAATTTGGAGAGAGGAATTAACAGGAGATAACTGATAACTGGCATCTATTAAAACATGGCACGTGGGACTAGAACAGTGAGCGAAATAAGTGGTTCAGTTCGACATTCCAACTCTCTGAAGAAGGCCGGAAAGTACAACGGCCGAAACGTTGTAATAAATATGGCGACAAAGATGAGGACAATAGTCCGAATAATGTAAATAGTGTACATAATACCTCATCTCAGATAGATACTGAAGTATTTCCCTGTATTGTGGGCAGCAATGTGTATTTCGTTCATTGATTTCAATTACTGGCCACGGCAGAGGGGATCAAAAACTTTAAAGAGTTGAGTTACTAAATGGAAATAACTGAAGTAAGATAGCCAGAAAAGGCATGGCATGTGGAACTAGAAAAATAACCCCGGTGGACGAAATAACAAGTTCGGTTCGAAATTCTAATGTATATCACCTGAAGAAGACCGGAGCGTACAACAGCCGAAACATCGTGAATATAACAATAACAATAAGGAAAACAGAACAATGTAAATAGTGTAAATAATATTTATTTATTTTCATTATTTATTATAATTGCTTAGCCTGCTTTGGTGCAAGACCACAGTTAGTGGAACAGAGTAAAAATTTCATGATTGCTAAATAATCACTCTAAACTTTAACCAAATTGATCGTGTCCCTGTTCATTGTCTTTAAGGAGTTTTTTTCCCTTTCTCTATTCTTACATCCATTGCACTGAATGTTTCCTTTTCTCCTTCTTTATTCATCCAATATTTTTTCTGTCAATCTTACATTTAACTTCTTATTTTTTTTATTTTTTTTTACTTATTCGTTTCTTTCTTGCTGCTTTCATTCCGTATTAGTTCTGCCGTAATCTTTCACCTCTTTCTCTCTCCCCCTTCCACTGTTAGCCTTTCTCTTCCTTTTCTTCTTTCTTCCGTGCCTTTTTTTTTACTTTCTTTCCTCTGTTAGCTCTACTTGCTCTCAGTGCTTTTGTCCGTTGTTTTTTTTTTGTTCTTTCTCTCTTTCTCACACCTTCTCCTTCTTCTCCTATTTCTTTCTCTTCTCATCCTTCCTATCTAATCCTTATCCTCCCCTGTCAGTTTTTCTTTTCCTTTTCTTCTTTCTTCCGGCCATTTTTTTTTACTCTTTCCTCTTTTAGCTCTTCTCGCTCTCAAAGATTTTCCGTTCTTTCTTTCTTTCTTTCTTTCTTTCTTTCTTTCTTTCTTTCTTTCTTTCTTTCTTTCTCACACTCTTCTACCATATTCCTTCCTATCTAATCTTCCACTGTCAGTCTTTCTGTCTTTTTCTTTTTTCTTCCGTACTTTTTTTACTTTCTTTCCTCTTAACTCTTCTCGCTCTCAATGCTTCTTTCGTTCTTTTTTTCTTTCACTCTCTTCTCTTTCTTCGTCTTCTCATCATTCCTATCGAATCTACGCAGCCAATGTCAGCCCCCATGATGAGATATCTCCACTTTTTGTCCACATTCGTGGAGATATTACGGCCGGTGTGAACGCCTTCTGCTGGCCGTGACGTCAGCGTCATTCAGTCTGTTGGCCTCATGACGTCAATACAAAGCATTTAAACTGGGTGGAATCAATTTCTGCCCACCTTCCAGTGGTGACCTCTGTGAGAACACGCGCCATCATCCCAGCTGGAGAGCGCAAAAAACGACAAACAATTTATCTGTATATCCATTCATCCAGATGGAAAGAAAAGGTATGAATATGTGAATATATATATATATATATATATATATATATATATATATATATATATATATATATATATATATATATAGGGCATATATGAGAAATATATTAATGTGAAATGTCATATAAGAAGGCACACAAAATTATATATATTGTTTCAAACGTTATAATGGATACTTCTTTAATTATTAAACATTGTCTGCGCATTCGAGCCTTCTTATTCATGAAAGTGAAATCTATAGGGTATAGATTAGAATATATATATATATATATATATATATATATATATATATATATATATATATATATATATATATATATTATAAATAAATTGATTTAAATTATTGGTTTTTCCGCTACACAGTTCTAACTATGTTTCAGAAATGGAAAAGTCCGAATTTAATTTTGTAATTAAATTAAAGACATTAGTTCCATTTCATCCTCAAGCGAATTTTGGAGTAACTTTTAAAATTACTGGGTTTTAAAGACACTGCAAAAATCATAATTCACGTTTCAAGGATACAGAGAAATCCAATTCAACCAGACAAGGGGTGTTTGCGTGTTCATTATGGCTGTATTTTTATGTATCAGTTATTAGTTACGTTTTGATAGGGGTAGGGATGTATTTTTCAATGAAATGAAATGTCGTCTGGATATTTTTAAAGATTTTTCATAAGAACACCGGATTATATATCTTACTGTTCTTTCTTTTTTTTTATATATATATATATATATATATATATATATATATATATATATATATATATATATATATATATATATATTGGGTATTGGGTCAGATCATTATTTAAACATATATTATTAAATGTAACGGACAAGGAATGTCTGTTATGTCCGATCATGTAACGTTCTAATGTTCAAATGTTTGCCTTAATTTCTGGTGAAAATAAAGACAAAAATTGTCCAACATTTGGATATTTTTTTATTAATTTGGTCATAAAATTTCGGCTCACATGAGCCATCCTCAGATTGTTTATACAGACGTGCAACAAAGATATCCCGCGTCAAAAATGATATTTTGTTATTTTGACATAGAATATTGCTATGCGACGTTAACGGTCGCGGAGAAGCAGACGCAGATCGTAATTTCAAGACGAGGTTTTGTGACGTCATACCACGTGATAAACAGAAGAGTTAACACAGAACCAACGTCTAGATGCAATGTAATGTGTTGCAATTAGTTTCAAACGTAATTTTGCTCTTTCGTTCTGTTGTAATAATTCCGTCTATCGCGTGGTATGACGTCATAGAACTGCCTAGGACCAACTTAATAAAAAATATCTAAATTTTGGACAATTTTTTAAAGCAAATATTCGAGCCAAAAAAAATTAAAGCAAACATTCGTATTAGAACGGTTCATGATCAGACATAATATACACTCATTGTCTGTTATATTTAATATATATATATATATATATATATATATAGATAGATAATATTAGTGGTAAATATACACATACATATGCAATCATATATCTAAAATATATATAAATATATATATATATATATATACACATACATATATATTTGTATAAAAAATAAATCCAAGAGGATAGAATCCAAGTAGAACTCAATGTCCTGGACAGAGTAAGGATATAATAAAAAGGCTTAAACACTAATATTTAATTGTATGGAGATGTAAGGTTTTATGTATATATGTTTATGTGCACGTATGTGTATGTCCGTATGTATATATGTGTGTAAATGTATGTAGAAGCGGATGTGCATGGATGTATGTGTATATGTATGTATATGTGTATATGTATGTATGTATATATATATATATATATATATATATATATATATATATATATATATATGTGAGTGTGTGTGTATGGGTATATGTATATGTATGGATATGTGTGTACACGCCTATATGTATGTATGTACGTGTAAATATAAATATGCTGTTGTGTATGTGTGTATACGCATGTGTTTTTGAACATAGAAATATAGGTCCTTGCTAGATTAGATAATTGTTATGTTTGTTTTTTTATATGTTTATATTTGATTTGTAACCTGTAGTCGATATTACTTTTGTCAAATTTTCTTGATTACACAGCGGCCCTTTTATAAATGCCCTTCGGTTTTAGTTCCCCCACCCCATCTCTCTCCCCCACCCTTTTTCTTTTCTTTTCCTCTCCCTCTCTCATGTTCTGATCTTTAAGATTATATCGTCTATTGTGTGTGTATGTCACCACAAAATGTATACCTAATGTACTAGACATCTGAGTATATTCATATTTCTCTCATTTAAACCGTCTTTGACTCGCCTCTTTAAAACTTCTCTCTGTTAAATTTTAATCCCCCCCTTCATCTTTAGACCTTCCTGTTCTTCTCTCGTCTGTTACCCCTCCCTATAGCTTTCATTTAACATTCGCCCCAAACTCTCATACTTACACTCTCACTAACTTTTGTTTTTTATTCCCGGAGTTGTTTTTTCTGTTTTCTTTTTGAATTTGTAGGTCTGATGAATTGGATCGTATTTACGATTCCAATGGAATAAATTATGACCATGGAATAATAGTGTTTAAGCATTATTATTATTCTTCTTCTTATTATTATTATATATATATATATATATATATATATATATATATATATATATATATATATATATATAATATAGGTATATATATATATATATATATATATATATATATATATATATATATATATATATATATATATATATGAGAGTAAGGGCATATGAGAAATATATTAATGTGAAATGTCATATAAGAAAGCACACAAAATTATATATATTGTTTCAAACGTTATAATGGATACCTCGTAGTTGAAATAGACGTCCCATCTTTAATTATTAAACATTGTCTGCGCATTCGAGTCTTCTTATTCGTATAGATTAGAATATATATATATATATATATATATATATATATATATATATATATTTTATTATAAATAAATTGATTTAAAATATGGTTTTTCCGCTACACAGTTCTAACCATGTTTCAAAAATGGAAGGACCGAATTTAATTTTGTAATTAAATTAAAGACGTTAGTTCCATTTCATCCTCAAGCGAATTTTGGAGTAACTTTTAAAATTACTGGGTTTCAAAGACAGCAAATATTATAATTCACGTTTCCAAGGATACAGAGAAATTCATTTCAACCAGACGAGGGGTGTTTGCGTGTGCATTATCGCTGTATTTTGATGTATCAGTTATTAGTTACGTTTTGGTAGGGGGTAGGGATGTATTTTTCAATGAAATCTGACATCCGTTAAAAACATGTTGTCTGGATTTTTTTAAAGATTTTTTTATAAGAACACCGGATTATATATCTTATTGTTCTTTCTTCATATATATATATATATATATATATATATATATATATATATATATATATATATATATATATATATATATATATATAGACTTATTGCTTCAAACGTTATTTTTGTGGATACTCACGTTTGAAATAGACGCCCCATGTTTATTTTTAAAACAGAGTGTATTACATCTGTTGTGTGGGCACAGGAGAAATCATAATGAATAAAATGTGCTCTCCGACAGGTTTCGAACCCGTGTCTTTCTTTGGACTGTTTCATCCGCTGTGTTTTTGCCCACTCGGTCACAGAGAACGTCACAAGCCAGCTTGGTACTAGTTTCCCTTGTAAGAAGGGCACACTTCCTCGTTCAGATGTTTTTTCTCGAAATCCCATATTTGCTTAGTTTCGTATCCGAAACGTAAACAAAGCAATTTCTAAAGAATTAATGAATTTGCTTATAATCTGAAATTATTATTAAGTCAAGTGGATATTTTGTATTTGGAATTCTTTATATATATATATATATATATATATATATATATGTGTGTGTGTGTGTGTGAGTGTGTGTTTGGAGGAAAGGAAAACAAACACTGTTTACTGTAATACGTATTTTTCTCGACAGATGGCATTACCCTCATGACAATAGCATAAAAATCATAAAGGATTTTGCGTAACGCAGAAAACCGATTACATTGGCGGCCCTTAGACAATAAGTGAAAATGGATGTGCATAAATCACACCGGATACTTTGGTCAACGTTGGCCAAACAGCAGCTCGCTACACTAATAAATGTCTGGAAGCTAAAAGCTACCATTTTAAGCAACTCCTATGATTGTAGAGTCCAAAGGTAACTTGTACCAATCTCGTGATATCAGAATAAATTTAGTGTTATAATATCTATGCAAGCTTTCCTTTCCTGAAATGTCTAAACATATAAACATATATATATATATATATATATATATATATATATATATATATATATTGTTAAATATAACAGACAAAGAATGTCTATCATGTTTGATCATGAGCTGTTCAAAGCTTCGTATATTGGCTTTTGTTTCGGGAGTAAATAAAGACAAAATTTTTCCAAAATTTGGATATCTTTTAAAAAATCTTTTGTTCCTCGATCTAAGCTTTCGGCTCACAAGAGACACTTGGAACGGCTCATGATCAAACATAATAGATGTTCGTCGTCTGTTATATTTAACAATATATGTTTAGATAATGTATATATATATATATATATATATATATATATATATATATATATATGTATGTCTATATCCATATATATATGTATATATATGTATACACACACACACACACACACATATATATATATATATATATATATATATATATATATATATATATATATATATATATATATATATATATATATATATATATATAACTCCGGATTTCAAACTATGGAGAAGACAACGCGAAACCACTCCACTATCTTTCTCCAAGTCAAGACAATCCATATATAATAAAGAAAAAGAATAGATCCAAAGATATGGTCGCATACAGGCTGAAAGAATCATATAATTAAAAAAGTACTGATAATAATTGTAGTTTGTGCCAATTCACGAGCTATCCCAATAATTCGTTTGCATGGTCGAACTGCATTCATTTGCAGCGTTTCCATTTAAAAGCTACTCCTACCCTATCGTGTGTATTACTTTATTACAATTCAATTTTTTTTTTTTTACATCCCACATTTTAACGTTGACAAAAAGACCATGGTAACTGTTATTAAATTTAATTTCACTGATGCTTAAACAGAAGGCTGCAGTTTTTATTCATTTGCTTTTCAAAATGGAATCTTCCAAATGATGGCCTCTATTCGCTGCTGAAAACGATTTCCAGAGCCTGGAGATTTTCTGGGACTCAAGCGTTTCGAGGTCTTCCAGATGGCTTTGGTTAAGCGCTGAATCTACGACTCTGAAATTTTCAAACCATAGAAGTATCGATTTTCTATTCGTAACAACATCATTCCAACGTAACATGAGTTGAGCACAAAAAACCGTGCTGCAATTACAGATCAACATTTCAACGGAGAACGCATGGTGTGCACCTGTCAGAGCTATGATGGTAACAGATAGCATTGATAAAACAACGGTAAGCTATTAGCTAGATGCTGACACCATTGCCACTCGCCTGAGTTCACTAGCACAACACAGGTGACAATTTCAAATATGGGAGGTATTTCTGCCGCACTCCACACTTTGCTTCTTTCTTTTGCTGATTGTCGTGCATGCATAATATTTAAGCTTGTTTAAACATCTGCATTTCCCTATTATTTCATTCCTCTTGTTCAATAAGATGTTTTGATTCTTAAAGGTGATGATTGTTAATTTTTATTGAACAAGAGGAATGAAATAATGGGGAAATGCAGTCATTTAAACAAGCATCTACTTTTCTAACTAAATACCAATATAAAAAGAAATGAAAGAAATATAACACAAAACGTAACCCCATCACAAGCACAAACCACCATACTTAACATGTAATTCATACCAATTCAAAAAAACAGTTCATCCAGAAAAAATTAACCACAGTATCTACAAATAATAACCAACAAAATAATTCGAACCATACCAAACACATACAAACCAATCATACAAATCACCACAACACATCCTTTATAAAACCGAAAAACACACACACGCTCAACACAACACCCGCAGTATCAACAAAATAATAACCAGCTACACAAAACACAAACAAATTTCCACAGTTACACGCTTTACAAAACGGAAAAACATACAAACACTAAATATAAAAATGTGAAAATAAAAAAATGGATAAAGAAATAAACGAGAACACATATAGAGGCACGAACGTATGAACACATCCAGATGAATACGCACACAAACACACAGACACACGCACAGCACATGGATACACAAAATACACGTGCGGGTACGTGTATGCATGCATATTCATATATATGTATACATGCATGCGTGTACATGCAAACGTACAGATGCATGCGTGCACATGCACAAGGACAACCAGACACACGCACCCACACAAAAATTCAACCATAATCTAAACTAAATGGCCGAAACAATAACTATAAACCAGAGATCAACAAAGAAGTCCAAGGTTATGGAGCCCACTCAACATAAAGCAATGGAAAAATACAAAAGAAACAATTAATTGGTTTAACAACATCTCAAAAAAACAAAACAACTGTTCTTTCATACAACTAAACATAAAAGACTTAATAAGTGAAAAGAAAAATAAGTCATACCAAAATAAAAGTACAAAGCAACAAACACGCATGTTAAATGATAAAACCCACTAAAAATACATATACAGTTAACACAAGCACATACACAGACACAAGCAAACAGTTAGACGCGAACATACGAACGTACACGCATAGACATGTTGATGAGTGTGTACGTGCATGTTTGTATGTATATGTATATATGCATGCATAAATACGTGCATATACATAGATACACACATAAACGGCACACGCACACAAACATACATAAAAAAATCCATACACAACCTAAATTAAATGATCCAAACAATAGCAATAGACCAGAGATAAACGGAGAAGGTGAGGAAAGAATAAAGTAAAAAAGACAAAAAATAAAAAAGGAAGAGAGAGGAAGAGAAGTCAACAATCAATCAACACTCCTTAAGCGAAAAGGAAAATAACACACTCATACCACAATAAAAGTACAAAAGAATCGAGAGATATCAGCAGTTTAACTCTGTTCTGGCGAGTGGTCACATATATGTAACCACGAAACTTGGAAGTAAACATGATTTTAGTGAAAAAGCATTTTCATCGTGCGACGATAGCTTGTGGGTAAAATCTCTAGCTGATGCCAAAACAGTCATGTCTCCATTCCGGCTTGAAGCAATCGGATGGTTAGCCACACCTATGAGCTGTGATACAGCGAAACAGTTTGTCTGTGGATGACTATTTATGCTCTCGAAATAATAATCCTCTCGGTGAGGAAGGGTGATTTTATAAACAGTGGCTGTTACTGCTGATAATGCAATGCTCTCCTAGCCACTGACCTCTTTCGTATAGTAAAGACGGTAAAATATCCCTTAATCTCTGTCGTGCGACGAGAGCTTGGGGGTTAGAATCTCTGACTGATATCAAATCGGTTTGATGCAACCTTCCACCCAGTTTTCCTTCTCTTAGACACTAAGAAACTCTGGGTCTGTCTATATTTCTGAGATGAGGTATTATGTAGATTATTTACATTAGTCGAACTATTGTCCTCATCTTTGTCGCCATATTTGTCACAACGTTTCGGCCGTTGTACGCTCCGGCCTTCTTCAGGTGGTTGGAATTTCGAACTGAACCCATAACCAGGTATCGGCTTGTCTCTCCTTTATATTCCTTTCCGCAGCTGCACGGGATAGCGTACACACAGTCTTTAGTCATGTTCCTCTCTGTGGGGGGTCTCACTTGTGAGAGATATCTGCGAAGTGTTGTCACGCTTTTGAAAGTTGTCCTGATGTTATATGGACCGCAGATATATATATCTATATATATCTTGTATCTATAAAAAAGAACGTTAAACATAAAAATGTCTTTAATAAATAAATTGTCGGACTTTGTCCATTTCTTAATATATGACGTCATTTGTTTACATTTGATACGCAGTTATGAATGTGCGAGATTCATGGAAGATTGAAGTTTATAAGCAGTAAATTCGACCTTGCCTACCGAACGCTCCTTTGTGGCCGAGACGGTAAGGCACGTCAGCGTAAATGACTGTTCCGTATAGGATGCAGGTTCGAATCCTGTCAAAGGACGAATATTTTCTATGAAAATTTCCCGGACATTCAGGCCGGTAACTGTTATTTAATACTGTTTATTATAAACAGAGCATTTACTTAAATACTTGTATCTATAAAAAAGAACGTTAAACATAAAAATGTCTTTAATAAATAAATTGTCGGACTTTGTCCATTTCTTAATATATATATATATATATATATACATATATATAAATATATATACATATATATACATATACATATATATACACACACACATATATATATATATATATATATATATATATATTTATATTCAGATACCATCAATTACATTCATGGCTTGAAGTGGTGTATTTGCCGTTCAAACTTTATTTTAAGGCTGGTGAATCTGTAATTGCAACACAGAGAGCTTTACCTGCTCATTTCATGTTATGTCGGAATGATGCCGTTCCGGAGAGAAAATCGATACTGCTATTGGTTGAAGATTTCATGGCCACTGGATCTGGAAGATCTCGAAGTGATCGAAATTCCGGGTGATGGAAAACTTTAGAAATCTTCTCCAAGAGTCTATGGTGAATAGAGGCAACCACATGGAGGATGCGATTTTTAAGCAACGGTGAAATAATTGTTTTTAACAGCAGTTACCTTGCCGTTTTTGCTAATTTTGAAAATGTGGGATGTATATCTCCCGCATCTTGTATAAATATATATTTAAAATTATAAAACTTATATAAACACATTTTCAGTGAGTGTGTTAGTGTTTTGAGGTGAGTCATTTAAAACCCTGAACCTCGTAAAAACCCGTATGTATCGACATCTTTTGATACTGACCCCATATTGAGGCTGTGACCCTGTACTCAACAGAGGAGTCTTCAGAACGTCAACCAATATTAGTTTTTAAAGAATATATGGACTAGCCCAAAATATCGTAGTGGTAACTCGAACAGAGTTGATGTATTTAGAAACCCATGGTAGTGGAATCCTCACAGTGATAGAGCATCATTGTTTAAGCTATAATATAAATCCGAAAAACGTAGGAAGACAGTCAGCACATTGACAGCAAAATAAAGGTAAAGACACCTCACCTCTCCCAGATTACTCATCTTGTCTGGCTTCAGCAGATTGTGACAAGCTACCACGTGAAGATGGCTAGTCGCTGGCCGATCAATTAAGATCCGGCCTTTCTGTCTCTCCATCTAGCTTCCTCCAAGAAACAATGATAATTCGACTATTTCCCCGCCTCTGAAATACTGCAAGGAAAAAGAAATAAAAAACAACTAAGAAAATTGATCGTTGTTCATTCAGTCTCTGATGCAGCGCTGGGGCCTGAGAAATTGCCGATAGACGACAACAAGCCAGAGATGACAAGCAACGCAGCACAATATTTATTTATTCGAAAAATAAAAATATTAAAAAAAGTGCATATTTATTTAAATTATGATGAATAATTCTAGGGATACATGATAAATCTATCTATCTATCTATCTATCTATCTATCTATCTATCTATCTATCTATGAGTCAAACAATAGGATCATTATCTAGAAAAATCCTTGTTATTCTAAAAATTTAAGGGAATATTCATTTACAAAAAAGATCATTCTTACAATATTAAATTCATTTCAGCTTTAAATAACCAAGAAACTATTGTTGAGCAGTAAAAAGAAATCAATCAGTTATTCATATCTACCTGTCTATCTATCTATCTGTTGTAGAGTAGTTTTCACAGTGAAGGCTTATATTTCACTAAGTCGGTCCTAAAAGGTTCGACGTACAAAAACGTTAGGAACTTGTTATAATAGTTAATGACGCGGCAATCTAGTTGTGGTGGTTGATACTTTAAGGTCCGACATCGACTGACTTACCAACTCACTCTGAGCCGCCTGGCGACTGCTACTACTACTTATTATATGTGGGAGAGTCTATTAATAAAAGAATAGGTATGTTCTAGTATAACACTATCTATTAATGCATTTTCACTATCTATCTATCTATCTATCTATCTATCTATCTATCTATCCAGCTATTAATACATCTTCACTGTCTATCTATCTAGACGCATATATATATATATATATATATATATATATATATATATATATATATATTATCAGCGTTTTCACTATCTATCTATCTATCTATCTATCTATCTGTCTGTCTGTCTGTCTGTCTGTCTATCTATATAAGTGTAGTCACTCTCTTTCTATCTATCTATCTATCTATCTATCTATCTATCTATCTATCTCAGCGTCTTCACTATATATTTAGCTATCTGCTGTACCACTTTCTTTCTTTCTAATTACAGTATATCAACGGTTTCAAAGGAAAGTTTGAAGACTCTCGAGGTGAGGTTGCTTTATCACTGAAATACTACACGCTAAGTATTACTTACGCCGTATTTGGCGAAGCCCAACGATTGTTAGACCAACAAATTTAAGTTCGTTATTCGCTGCAATTGAAAACAACGTTATTTATACAAATGTGGTCGCCTGTACTTTTAAAGTGGCGATCGATTTGGCTTTAAATTCTGCAGCGACAAACAATTAATTTACGTCACTCAATCAGAGAAGAAGAATATTTTCCTCAAAAGACAACGTGGACTGACTCCCTCTCTGAAAAGATTAAGGTGGGCCAAAGTTCTTTTTATCTGCCTATTCATTTGTCTCTTTATGGTACCTTCTTTGATTTGGAATCGGAGTTATAAGATTGAGGGGGAAAACACACCCACGTACACAGACACACTTACATACACACACGCACACGTGTGTGTGTGTGTGTGTGTGTGTGTGTGTGTGTGTGTGTGTGTGTGTGTGTGTGTGTGTGTGAATAAAGACAAAATGAAAACTTTTCTTAACCGACGCGTTTCGTTCTCTGATAGACTTTACCAAGGCAAATTTAAGGATTTTACTTTGCAACAAGTATTTATAAACAGAAGTAAAATGTCGTTAATTTTACAAAATTGTTTTATTTAAACACGTTCATAATTATATTTCTGTTTAACTGAAAGTCAAGGTAAACTATGGAGGATGCTAAGTGATGTAATTTAATGTCAAATAAATGAAAATTGCTGTCGAATTTTTATAATGCAATTATTATTTGTTTTATTTATTTTGAGAAATTAATCTATGTTTTTTTACACATTTTAAATAGTAGGTTTTGTATTTAACACTTTTCCGTCTGAGTAAATAACTTTTTCTTAGTGTGACCAAAATTGTGGTTGTACTTATTTCTATGTAGGGCTAATGCATTTGATAAATTATGTGTAAGATACTTTTTGTGTTTATAGATATTTTTTCCATTTTGCAAGTTTCCACAATATAATGTAGGGAACAGTCGTGACAGTTTATTTTATATATTATCATGGATCTTGTAATTATTTTGATATTGTTAAGATTGAATAAATTGTTTTGTTCTGTACATGTTAAGTATTTAGTAGGTAATTTTTATCTTTTTTCTTGTCATTGCTGTTATTAATCTCAATGTCTATTGTCTATGTAGTTGAATATTTGTTATGCTTTTCTAGCATAGGGAATAAAATAATGGGGCTGTTGGAGGATTTTAAAGGTGTCTTCTGTGTATATTTCTTCTTCGTGTAAATATTGAGGTGAGAATAGAAATTTATGAGAGTATTCATCTGAGTAGATTTTATGTAAACTTTTAATTGAAGGTCATTATTAGTTCGATGTTACATGGTATTTAGTGTAGTCTCAGATTCAAAAGTAAAATCGACAGTAGGTTCAACGTCATTAAATTTGTTTAGAAAGATCTACTAAAATTGCGTAATGTGGATGTATTAGTATAGTAAGGTTAATACAGAACAAGCCACAGGCCCATAGGCCCATATATATATATATATATATATATATATATATATATATATATATATATATATATTTCGTTGAATAATGCAGACATATTATGTCTATTTATTTTCATTTTAATCCTCTCAAATTCACGGAAAAATTTCCTTGTGCTTTTCCAAAGGTGAGTAAAAAAACATCGCAGTTTTCGTTAATTATTTTATTTTCTCAAGTCCTTTCAATCTCAGCCAAGATCATCTTCAGGGGTGAACTGCTAAGACAAAAATTAGTGCATTTGGTAGTTGCGGATGTTTTTGTAAATGCGCATGAAACACGCTTCGTCTTTACGAAAGGGATATAAGGGAGGTAACTTAGTTTTATTTTTTTATTATTAATGTTTTAAAAATACTCAACCTACAATTTTGTCGAAAAAATTGAAAATTTAAAAAAAAAAATTGAGCGTCTTAAAACAATTGTTTTACAAATTGGGCATTCCAAAACATTTGGGTTCTCTTCTAGGACCAATAATTAGCTACTTCTACAAGGCTAACCTTGAAAATAAAATATTTAATCGGTTCACTAAAACACCACTAAAACCCCTCCATCTAACTACGATGTGTAGATGATATTTTCATCTTAGTTAAAAACAAAAACGAAATACATAAACTCCAAAAACTTCCAAAAATACTCCATTAAGTTCACATATGAACTTAACAATAACAACAGAATTTCTTTTCTTGATATATTGATAGATATCAATAATAATGCATTTTCTAGCTCCCATATGAAAAACTAACTAGCGTAATCTGGTGCACTCTCAACGATAAAAGTGAATGTCCTGATTATTGCAAAACAGCGATTATACAAAATTTAATAAACCGTGCAAAGTTACTCTTCCACGAAAAATATTTTCATCACAGAATTAAAAAACAATTAAACAAACTCTCATTAATAGTGACTTTCATAATTACATTGTTGATGAACATATTAGTTGAGCCACTAAAAATATTAAACCAAAAAGAACATAATACTTTCTCAAGCAACACTAAACATATTCACCTACTATACCGCAATCAAATACACTGTAACGACAAACACGATGAAAATATCACAAAAAATCTCATTAGTACTAATGTATCCCCGGCTGATTCCAGTAAAAAATATATATAATTATATACTATACTAAGTTTAATGCAAATAGATTAATCATTCGCAATAACTCTTCTCTGTCAAGTAATATTTTGCAAAATACCAACATTGTATGTCAATTTAAATGTCCTTTGGGAGATTGTATCTCTGACAAAAGCATAAATATATGTTAGTTTCACGACCACGATGACGACAGTACCAAGAAGGCTTACTTTACACATATCGGATTCAACATTTAAAAGAACATTCCTGTCCACATTCACGGCTTAGAGAAATACTCCACCATGAAAAAAAAACAAAAAAAAACAACAAAAATTCAAATTCTCGAAGCAATCTATATAAAAGAAATGAAACCAACACTAAATAAAATTAATTATGAGTATAGCAGCAATGTTTTAAAATGACTATGAAAACGAATGTTTTGGGAGGCTCAAATTGTAAAAACATATTTTTTAATTTTATCGAAAAGTTTACATTTAAAACATTAATCATAAAAAAATTAAACTAAGTTACCTCCCTTAATTCCTTAACAGTAATTGACTATAATGAAGTGCATTTATAAAAATATCCACAAATACAAATGATACTATTTTTGTCTTATCAATTCACCCATGATCTTCGATGAGATTGAAAGTACTTAGGAAACTAAAAGAAATAAGCAAAACTACGGCGCCTTCCTTACTTAGTTTTATAACAGCACGAGCAAAATTCCCCGTGAATTTGAGAGGATTAAAATTAAAATAAATAGACATATGTCTAGATTATTTATACCAAAAATGCCTCAATGAAAATATTCTCTTCAAATATATATAAATAACAACGTTAAACATAAAAATGTCTTTAATAAATAAATTGTCGGACCTTGTCCATTTCTTAATATATGACGTCATTTGTTTACATTTGATACGCCAGAGCAGTTATGATTGTACGAGATTCATGGAAGATTGAAGTTTATAAGCAGTAAATTCGACCTTGTCTACCGTAAGGTTCTTTGTGGCCCAGAGGTAAGGCACGTCAGCGTAAATGACGGTTCCATATATATATATATATATATATATATATATATATATATATATATAAGGTCTGATTAAAAGTATCGAGGACTGGCGCTATCATAACGAAGGTATATTACGCAGAATCAAGCAGATTGGCAGAGACTGACTTTGAACTCTGTCGCGCATACATACTGCGACATCGATGAAGACGTTCTGTTTGTTATTGTGGAGTATAAACAGAAAATTTCGACGGAAAAGATTACAAGTTTGAAAATCGATATCTCAACTGCCTTTCGCCATTTGAATAAAGTTGTGTTCAAGAAAAGGTTTCATTTTCAACCACGACAACGCAAGACCGTATGTTGCGAAACAGACCTTGGAGAAGTTTAAAGAGTTGAAATGGGACCCCCACCCCACAACACCCGCTGTACTCTCCTTACTTGACTCTTTCGGGTTTTCAGTTGTCCTGGTCTCTACAGAAAAATTTAAATGATAAAAACTTCGACACTCTACAGTCAGTCGAAAACTATCTCACAACATTTTTTTCAACAAAAACACGAAGTTTCTATTAAAACGGAATCTACAAGTTTGGAGAACAATGGGAGACAGTTGTTAAGAACAATGGAGACAATATACTTGACTAATAATTTTTTTTTTTTTTTAAGTATATAAAATTTTGTTATTAATTTTGTATTTTTTCAGAATCGAACTTTAGCAATGATCGAATATATATATATATATATATATATATATATATATATATATATATATATATATATATATATATATATACATTATTTTTTATTATAATAGATTATAATAAAACGTTGAAATCGCTACACAATCCAACAATTTTTTTTATTATAATCTCTTATAAAATAAAAATAATAATAATAATAATAATAATATATTGCTCTACTTTGTATTGAGCACATTTTTAAAGGTAAATGCTACGGACAGTGGAATTTTACTTCATCTATTCTTTTTGTCATTTGGATATCTATCTATCTATCTATCTATCTATCTATCTATCTATATAAGTGAACATTGAAGTCAACATTTAGAGGTGACAGTATTGATTTCAATGTTCACTTATATATTTACACACGCTCTATCTCTGATATTGAGCACTTTATCCCATAAATATAGCACACCTTAAGAGTATATTTCTTCATATATATATATATATATATATATATATATATATATATATTATTTTCTTCTTGACAATGGAACGAGACTATGGATTTTAAGTTTGATTTTTATAATTAAATTTATAAACTTAGTTTCAGTTTTGAACATGTAAATTTTCTGTGTCGCGATGGAATCATATTTTTATAAAGAAAATAATTATAATATTTTACTCGACTGTTTGTATGGAGCAATGTTTTTTTTTTGTTTTTTTTTTGTTAATAAATATAACTGCTAAGACCGAATTATAAATCTTATTGTTCTTTCTTCTTATTTTAATATATATATATATATATATATATATATATATATATACAGATATATAGATAAATATTTGCGTGTCTGTGCATGTGTGTGCGTGTGAGTTTTTCATACCTGTTTGACTGTATATGAATTGATGTAGGCAAACCTTAGCATATAGGTTGCACAGTATGCGTGCGTATAAATGTCCATATATTAGGACACAAGCAAAAATCGAAGCAAATCACACGTAAATTCAGCGAGTTGTATAAGGCGGTATAGATAAAAATGACACAACAAAACTTGTTTAAATCGGCATAACATGGTATTAGAAAGACATTGTGAGATTTTTAAATACGGAATAACGATAAAATCTCGAGAGTAAAAAATGCTATTTTGATGACGAAAGTCAAATGACAACATCATCACATCATCATCTTGCGGCCTCAGCCGAGATTGAACTCACCAATACTTTGATTGGTGTAGTTCATAATCTTGTCAAATAGCTGAATTATTGATGCTTCGCTAGGGCTATCAAGGGTGTTTTTATCGTGACACCATCAGTAAATGGATTGCCAACCAAGGCTCAGAGAGACTCCATTTACCCTCCTCTAAGAGCAGGTTTGAATTCAGAGTTTTCCTTCTCCTAGACCAGTTGCCATCCAAGGCTATAGAACCCAGTCTGTTCTGCTATTTACCCATAGCTGGAGGGAGAAGAAAGAGGATTCACACCTTTCCCAAGGGTGTAAGTGAATGTAATGGATTCGACTGGAATTCGAACTCGGCTCTCCTATAGACAACAGAAATTGGTATCAAGAGTAAAATGGCGAAAAAAAAAAATAAATAAATAGTGGTTAATGGAAAATGGTGGACAAATGAAAAACAAGTACAGAGTAATGGAATCAATTTTTAATGGCTTGCATCCATAAAAGGAAGAAATATTTCTTTGCCAAATTTGAATTTCAATTCAAGTGTTGTAAATCGAAAAAAGTATCTTTCGTCAATATAGTTGTATAACGGTTATCAAGGCAGAAAATGGATTTTGCAAAATGAGTTCAACCTCTCGTCCAAGCTGTTGCCTCTATATCACACTAATGTCCTAGCTAAATGCATGGATCTCTTTCTCCTCCATTTTAGCAAAATAGTACGGAAAACTATTCTTTTGCTCATATTTGGCAAGTAATCTAGATGGACTACCCTGAATTCAAGACCGTTAAAGGAATCAGGAACGATAGCCGTACACCGTCTACGTTTTGCTGAAAAGCGAATAGGTTATTTTGATGATCCTGGTAAAATTGATACTAATGCTATTTTGCCGATAAATATAAATAGCATCATAGAAGTAAGGATATATTATATTTGAGATCGTCAGCGCAGTGGTTGTGTGAGCTGTGTAGACAGGACTTGAACAATATGGATCCTGTGCTCTCTAATCGTTGTCTTCAGTGGCTGCATCTGAAGTAGATTGGCAAGAGAATCATACCCAAAGGCAAGATTTGGATTTGCAGAGACTGTTATTCTTGAAGTGCCTAAAATATTCAGAGACTTATGTATTTCTTTTAATAATCGATGATAAATAAATGATAAAAAAAACAAAAACAAAAAGTCGAATAGGTTATTTTGCCGATCCTGGTAAAATTGACACCAATGCTATTTTGCAGGTAAATATAAATAGTGTTTTAGAAGTAAGGATATATTTAAGATCATCAGCGAAGTGGTTCTGTGAGCTTTGTAGACAGGACTTGAAGAATATGGATTCTCTAAGTCTGTGACTGTTGTCGTCAGTAGGTGCGCCTGAAGTGTATTGGCAAGAAAATCATACCCAAGGGCAATTTTATGATTTGCAGAGACTGTTGTTCTTGAAGTGCTTAAAATATTCAGAGACTTCTATATTTCTTTTAATAATTGATGATAAATAAATGATTTTAACTCCTGTTTTAACAAGTGATGGGGGAAAACATTCCAAATGTCTTAACAATTAATGGCGAAAATAAAAAAAAAATCTTCTGTGTTAAATCTGTTTGTTGTTACTTTTAACATTACCTGACTTAATAATAATAAATATATTTACCGGCAATAAAACCTCGTCACATTTAAAAGACATATTTTTTATGAAATATTAAAAGAATAAATATTCACTATACTATGTCGATGAAAATGTCATCAAGTAATCTACTTATTCAAAATGGCGGGTTCTGGACGTGAAGGTTACAACTTGCGGAAGTAAGGAATGCAGTTTGTACGAGCACTTTCCATGGAAATAGCGATAAAGCAGGGAGAAGCTTGCCACATCCCACCTGAGTGAGAGAGAAGTTGAAGGACGGAAAATAATTCGTCACCTACAAGGGAGAGGCTTTTGAACTCTATCTAGACTGGAAAGTGCGGAATCAGCAGCTGTCGCCCAAATATGACAACAGAAGTTTTGTGATGTCAACGAATACTCGTTGTCACTTTCGTAATGCTCGTTGTAGTAGAGACTTTGTAATCGAAGATACAACTATAGTAACGCCGTTGAGCAATACTGGTGTCAGACGCCTTCGAATATCACTCGCACTAATAGTACTTGCTCGATAATACTCGCTCGAATAGTAACCACCGAATAATAATCCGTGTAGTGATCAGTATAGATATCAGTATAGATAATAATGTAAAGAGAATAGAGATCCGTATAGTAATGGAGGATAGAATAGAAACAGTGATCGTTTAGACATCACGCTAATTCCCATATATTTATATCCTTTGCGATCACGGGATCTACTTATTTCAAAATGGGATCGCCTGCATTTGCTCTCTGGTGATCTATGTTCAAACTACAGTGTCAGCAGCGACACTTTATTCCTATATAACAAGGATTAAGGCATCAGATGTCCATTGACATTACATTTGAAGATTTGAAGATTATAGCTATCAAGGAAGCAATTAAGAGGAAGGGAGATCCGCTGACTAGAAATGCGATATAAGAAGCGGTTGGAGTAGAAGAGGTGGTTACATTTAACCGTTTCGACAGTGATAGGGGAGGACCGAGATGCCAACCTAGTAGCACGCTGATATTCATGCAGTTGGGGCACCAGTGAAAATAGCTTGTCAGAGCAGTTGCCATGAAAATATTTGTAGAAAAGACAGACGGAAGCCACATCATGTTTGCGAGAAAGTGACAATAGACAAGATACCATATTTTTCTTTCTTTCTTTCTTTCTTTCTGCCATTTTTTGCTTATCATAAGTTTTATTCTTTCATCCTTTTTTCTACCTTTCTTCGTTATTTTTTTTTAAATTCTTTCGTGAATATTAATGTCTCATTATTTATAACTTCATCTTGCTTTTTTTTTCTTTACAAACTTGTTCTATTCTTATTTTATTCATTCCCATCATCAGTTTTCTCCCATTCCTAACTAGATGCCAGTCTGGGAGATTATGGTTCAACCAAACGGATGAATGCTAATACCAAGCGAAGCACTGGACCTGAATAAAAAGAGATGAAAAAAATTTAAAAAAAACATGCACGCGTGTCGCACAGAGACACACATACGGAAAGAAAATAAAAAAAAAAGAAAGGAATATTTAAATGGATTGAAATAATGAGTTGGTGCAGATAAAAGAATATTCTTTACAAAAGACAAATCAAAGAAATTACTTCATAACAAGATCGAAATTGTTCAAGTGCTTTTACCTTGTCTCAAACAAAAACATGCTATTTTTTATACTCAATACATCCCACACGCATATATAAAATTGTTGTTTTGGAAGTTGTAGAGAGCCATGATCGCCTATGTCCTGGAGGGACGCGGCAAACAGAAAAAGAAGTGGCGGTCAAGAAATCCAACGCTTCGGTTTTGAATTGTAGCTGAGAGACCGGAGTTGCCTATTTAACTTGGCAGCAGATTTCAAAGGAACTAACAGAGGAACGGTCAGAGATACGTTCTTTTTTTTTCAGAAGACATGTTGTTATTTATTGCAAAAAATCAATTCGATTGTATCACGTTGTCTTTCGAAACTCGCTTCTTGGTTGCTTCATTTAAACGGACAGCTTTTCCCTTTTGCATTTACTTTCTTTCCTTCCCTCTTTCTTACTTTTTCTCTTTCTTTCTTTCTTTCTAGCTTTCTATCTTTCTTTCTTGTTTCCTTGTTTCCTTCTTTCTTTCTATCTTTCATTCCTTTTTTCTCCCCTTTTTCTATTTTTCTAGTTTTCTTTCTTTCTTTCTTTCTTTCTTTCTTTCTTTTCTTTACAATTATTTTCCTTCTTTTCTTTTCCATTTTCCTGTTAATTTCTTCCTTCAATATTTTCTTTTTCCTTTTTGTCTTTGGCCCTTTCTATTTTCGTTTATTTCTTTCTAACTCCTTTTTCTTTTTCTTTCTTTCTTATCTGCTCTCTTTGTTCACAATATTAATTATTTCCGTTTGCATTTCCTTCCTTTTATATTCGATTTCTTTTTTCTTTCTTTCTTTTCTTTCCTTAGCTGGTTCTCTTTTTACTCTACACATTTCTTTCGTTTTCACTTTCTTTCTTTCTTTCTTTCTTTCTTTCTTTCTTTCTTTCTTTCTTTCTTTCTTTCTCCCCATCTCTTATTTGTTTTTCTTTTCTTTTCTTAATTTCTCCCTTCGCATTTTCTTTCTTATCCCCATTTTCTCCCTTCCATTATTTCCTTCGATTATAAATTTCTATTTCATTTTCTTTCTTTCTTTCTTTCTTTCTTTCTTTCTTTCTTTCTTTCTTTCTTTCTTTCTTTCTTTCTCCCCATCTCTTATTTGTTTTTCTTTTCTTTTCTTAATTTCTCCCCTTCGCATTTTCTTTCTTATCCCCATTTTCTCCCTTCCATTATTTCCTTCGATTATAAATTTCTATTTCATTTTCTTTCTTTCTTTCTTTCTTTCTTTCTTTCTTTCTTTCTTTCTTTCTTTCTCATAACCTTTATTCTTTCAGCTTCTTTTTTCTTTCTTTCGTTCTTATCGATTCCTTTTGTAAACCATAACTTCTCTCATTATTTATAAGTTTACCTTGCTTTTTTCTTTCAAAACCTGTTCTATTCTGATTTTATCCATTCACATAATCAGTTTTCTCCCATTCCTGACTAAATGCCAGTCTGTGAGATTACGGTTCAACCCAACGGATGAATGCTAATGCCTTTTTCCGAGCGAAGCAAAGCACTCGACCCAAATAAAAAGAGATGAGAAAAAAACATACACACACACACACACACAGACAACCACGCACACAGATAAAATAAAAAAGGTAGGAATATTTGAATAGCATGAAATAATGCTATGAAGATAAAAGAAGATAATCTTCAGTTTAATCAGTCGATATTCTTTTCAAAAGAAGACAAATCGAAGAAGAAATTACATCATAACAAGATCGAAGTTGTTAAAGTGCTTTTACCTTGCCTAACACAAAACATATGGCTTTTATAACAAATACCCCCCCACACACACACATATATATATATATATGAAGAAATATAGTTTTAAGGTGTGCTATATTTATGGGATAAAGTACTCAATATCAGAGATAGAGCGTATGTAAATATAAATATAAAAATATAAAAGTGAACATTGAAGTCAACTCTCAGAGGCGACAGGCTATTTCATGCTAGACGCAGTCGTCAGGCCGCCTCTTACATTTATATCTTGGCCAATCTATGAACTTTACAGCCAACCCTCGTATATATATATATATATATATATATATATATATATATATATATATATGGTGTGTGTTGCCTTTCCAGTGCAGATATTGGCCCATTCTATCATGCCGAATTTTATATTCAGTGGGTGTTAACACCGTGCAACCTGATACAAAATGGTCAATTGTTTCTGGATATTTATCATAGAATCTGCATTTGGAATCAACACAATTTTTCAGTATATGTGCTTGGTAGTTTCTAGTTAGCAAGCATTGGTCCTTTGTAGAGAGAATATAAACTTTTGGTTTCAGCTTTTAACCCTGCACTACGTAACAACTGATGGGTACGGAGTTTGTCTACATCAGCTTATTTGTTGTTGTTGTTGTTGTTGTTGTTCTTCTTCTTCTTCTTCTTCTTCTTCTTCTTCTTCTTCTTCTTATTATTATTATTATTATTATTATTATTATTTCCTTTGATTTCTGGCGTGTACACATTTCTTTCCGGATCTGAGTGGTGTTCATACCAATTTCTTTCAGTTTCCTTCCCGTAGAAATTGTAGATATTCCAGTGCAGATATTGGCCCACTCGGTTAAGCCGGGTTTTATACTCAGTGGGTGCCAATATCGTGCAACCTGATACAAGATGAGGAATTGTTTCTGCATATTTATCACAGAATCTGCATTTGGGGCTAACATATTTTAGTATGTGTGCTTGATAAATTCTAGTTAACAAGCATTGGTCCTGTGCAGCAAGGATAAAACCTTCGGTTTCAGCATTTAACCCTGCACTGCGTAACCGCTGATAAGTGCAGGGTCTGTCTATATCAGCTTGTTTTCTATGGGCAAAGTATTTACCACGAAGCAGTTTATCTTCCTATTATTTCTGTATCTGGTAAGTTGCATTTGCTTTTGATTTCTTTTTTTAAGTATTTTGCACATTCAGTCGGTGTATTGTGGTTTAATTGTATTTCTGCGCCCATTTGAAATTCCATTTTGAACTTGTTGGCTTCCTTTATTACGTAATATAGACGCTTACTACTTTCATGTTCTTTGACACATACCATCCGGTCTTCTTTAGTTTCCAGGTATCTTTGAAGGTCAATTATTGTAGTTTTATAGGACAGTTCTAGCTGAACTAATCCTCTACCTCCTTCGGATCTGGGCACATACAGACAATGAACATCCGCTGTGGAATGATGCATTCTCGTTATTATTATTATTAATTGTGTGTTAGGTTTCCTGCTTTGATCCTTTAGATTCGGGTCTAAGCTATGGTCCTTAGGCCTTAAAGAGAATTGTCATTTAATTTATAGCACGTTTCTTAATATATAGAATGTTCCTAGTAGAGCGTTTTTGGGGGCAACTTGTATGTTGATGTTTCCTCGGGCACTTTTAGTAAAATTATCCATTCTTTTTCTTACGAGACCCACTGCTCCGATTACTATAGTTACAGTCTCAGTCTTCATCCCCCACATCCTGTTAATATCGACCTCCAGGTCTCTGTATTTGCACATTTTCTCGATAATTTTCATGGTGATGTTTCTCTCATATGGTACTGCTATGTCAATAAGCATACATTTCCTGTATTTCTTCTTTCATGATAATATCAGGTCTCTTAATTTTTATTTCCCTGTCAGTTTGAATTGGCATGTCCCAGAGGATAGTTATATCGTTATTTTGGGTAACTGTGTCTGGTTGGTGCTGATTTTATCTTTTAATGGTTTCGATTTTGTGATTCTTGCATATCTTCCAGTGCACATATGTCGCTACTTTGTTGTCTCTGGGAATATTCATTTTTTACCAGCTCCGGACATTTCATCATATTTACCGCAGATCCTGCATTTCGGGTTAGTTTTATCCTTCACTAGCAGTAGAGCCCGGCGTTGCCCGGGGATGTAACAGTAAGAGATAGATCAAGTATCGACCATCATAAAGACTGAAAAATAAAAATTGACAAAGATTATTGTTTAAGGTTGACGGACACGCATGTCTTAATTAGTTTTTTTTTTGTTTTGTTTTTTTTTTGTGTTTTTTTACGAATTGGTCAAACCCAAACTCAAACAAAAACATTGTTTTCAATCGTTATGAGTCTACCAATTGAATAGAATTTTATTATAAACAATTGTCTTGTAAATGGAATTTTTAAAGCATTCTGAATGTAAAAATAAAGAAAAAGTGTGCAAGACAATAAGAAACACTACCAAAAAAAAAGTGAAGTTTTGTTGAAATCGGTTTGAAAAATGTAGGAATTCCGATCTCATATATAAACGAACACACACACACACACACACACACAAACAACCTGGGTTTTATAATAAGTATAACTCGATATGAGTTGTCCCCCTTTCATTCTCGTGATGCCTCTTAATCGTGTTTTCAAATTGATTTCATGCAAAAACAATTGTGTTTTTCCAATTTTTGGCGCTGTCAGAACCACCGCAAGGTAATTTTACGTAGTCCTCTGAAGTTTAGTTGAAATCGGTTGAAAAATGTAGGAAATCTTATCCAATATATAAACGTACAGACACACACACACGCACACACACACACAATCTGCGTTTTATAATAAGTAAGATTATATAATTTTGATAGGATTTGTTTGCGAGGCTTTGATCCTGAGTTGCAATAATTAGGCGTTCTGTCTCAGCTTTCAGCCGTGTGTTCTTCAGCCTCTGATATATTTTCTATTGATTTACATCTGCTTCTTTCGTTCTTTTTATGACTTTGCCATGAAACGCCTTGTCTTCCCAGTTTTGTTGTAATTTCATTTGGCCAAGTTGTTTTTTGCTGTCTTCTTTCCTTGTTCGGCATAGATGGTATTCGGTTCGTTTTTCGTTAGTAGAATTTCAGGTATATTAAGCTGTTTCTTGAAGAGTGCAGCTTCTTTGCTGATGGAGTGGATTTACTGTTTTGATATTTGTAGGAGAGAGTAGTTGTTTTTTGTGAGGTACGCTTCCTATCCGATTGTTGTAGTTTTAGAGATAGTTCAAGTTGGATGAGACCTCGGCCTCCTAACGCTATTGATACATACAGCCTATCAACATCTGATTTCAGGTCGTGCATTCTCATTTGGGTAAACATTTTCTGGTCTTGGCGTCCAATCTTTTAATGTCATTCATCTTCCATTTAATAATGTTGAAGCTGTATGTTACTGCGGTTATAGCTAAGGTGTTGATAGACTTCCTTTTATTGACCCCCCATTTAATTCGCTTTCTAATATCAAACGGACTCACCTATAATATTCTCTTGGATTTTTTTCTTCATAATTGAATGTTGTATGCCGTCTCCTTCTTTAATTCCTAAGTATTTGTATGTGCCATTTTGGTCTTGTTCCTTAACCTTGTTGTTGATATCAAGGTCTAAATCCGTAGTTTTCGTTAGTTTACTGCCTTTGAAGGTGACTGGCACATTTGTCAATTTTATTATTATTATTTTTATTTTCTTTGATTTCTGGAGTTTACACATTTCTTTCCGGGTCCCCGCCCAGGGACCTAAGGTTAGAAATGGTGCCATGACACTTTCCACTGAAAAAAAAAAAAAAAAAAAAAAAAAAAAGATTACATAGATAAAGCCCTTCGTAAGGTGTGGGCTGTACTTGTCAGAAGAATTTTCTGTATCTCCTTGAGGCATGGACTTCCAGGAATCCCTTCAATTAGTCTACTGGAATCTTTTCCAACCAGTCCTAGGGCTCCAACTACAACAGGGATTGTTGATGTTCCCATATGCCACATTTTCGCGATTTCTATTTCAAGGTCCTTGTACTTTGACAACTTTTTGAATATCTTCAAAGATACATTGCAGTCAGCAGGGACTGCCATATCAATAAGGAGGCACCGTTTTTGTTTGTGGTCTTTAATAACAATATCTGGGCGGTTGGCCTTGATTGTTCTGTCAGTGTGTATTGTGTAGTCCCATAGAATTGTAACAGGTCCTATCTCCGTAACCGGGTCTGAGTGGTGTTCATACCAGTTTCTTTCAGTTTTCTTCCCGTAGAAGTTGCAGATTTTCCAGTGTAGATATTGGCCCACTCTGTCATGTCGGGTTTTATATTCAGTGGGTGCCAACACCGTACAACCTGATACAAGATGATCAATCGTTTCTGGATATTTATCACAGAATCTGCATTTTGGGCTGACACAATATTTTAGTATATGTGCTTGATAATTCCTAGTTAGCAAGCATTGGTCCTGCGCAGCAAGGATAAAACCTTCAGTTTCCGCTTTCAACCCTGCACTACGTAGCCACTGATGGGTACGGGTTTTGTCTACGTCAGCTTGTTTGGT